GAGGGAAGGTAGTGGGATGCCCGATGCCTTGAGTGCAGTGGTGAACGGCCATGGAGGAAGCCGAGCGTGCCCTCAAGACGGAAGGCTACTATTATCAGTATATTATATATATACGTTCTTATTCCCTGCCAATTAAACGCTTAGCATCATCGAATACAGTATTTTCGGCTCTGCGCATGTCGTGGGACAGAGCATGCGCACAGGATTAGAAGGCAGATGATCAGGACATGGACCCTACCTCGTAATTTTTCCGCTTTCTCCAGATAAATCAGCCGCTCTTGGCTATCTTCCGGCAAGGCCTGTGACACCATCATCCAATGAAAATCGAACAACCAGCATCCACGCTGCCACACTTTTTTTGTTCTCCATCTGACCTTTCCTCTTTGCTCCCTCCCTCCCTCCCTCCCTCCTCCCGCTTTCCCCCACCTCTTACCTTCCAAGCTGCAGAGAGCACCTTCTGTTGTTCCCCAAAGGTCAATCCTTTCTCCATCTCCGGCCGTTTCTCCTTGGTGAAGAGCAAAAAAGCAGAGGGAGAGCGCGTGATCTTTTCTTTCTTCACTACCTTGCTCCCGCGGGCCCTCCCTCCCTCGCTTCCTCCGCCCCGTCCGCCCCCACCCGGCCCGCTTCCCCCTCCTTTGGAATCGACCAAGGCAGTGGCGGCTTCGTAGGAAGGGGGAGAACCTCCTGGACCTAGCATGTCTTCTTTCAAGTAGAGCTATAGGGAGGACAGGGGGGAAAGGAGGATGAATGGTGGGTGACAGGCAGGAGTGAGGACAGAAGACACAGGAGGAAAAGGACCCCGTCTCCCACCTTGATTTGATTCCAGCGAATGTGGGGGTAAGAGTAGCGGCCTTTTGGGACAAACCACATGGAAGCTCCCTGTTGTCGGTGCATGGATGGGAGGCGCGCGGGGTGAACTAGTGGCTCGGGAGGGGAGGTGGGTCACAACAGGGAGAACGAGGAGTGAAAGCAGCTGGGAAGGGTGGGGGGAGGCTGAAAAAGGACCGCAGGTCATCGAATTTAATAGTCATTTCTACGACCGAGGGCGGTTGTATACGGGAAGAAAGCATGCAGCCCCGGCCTCCCCCGCCATCGGGGAACGACGGGTCACGGGAGGTGGGGGGGAAGAAATGGACTTGAACATTCCAAATCCAGTCCCACGGGGGAATCCGAATCCAGACAGAGGA